TTTTTTGGACGTGCGTACGAGTCGTTGAAGTTACGGTTTTAGAGAGATAGAGAGTTTAGAGAGAGAGAATTCAAAAATATAGTAAAGGGTATTTTCGTAATTGGGGGGGGGAGGCGGTGACTAGTAATAGGGGGCGGTAAATAGCAATTCAGTATTTTTTAATATACATATAATTTATTTATTTATTTTACTTTTTTTATATAAATCTTACAAGAGAAGATAAAAAATTCGTACATTTGGTGACATAATAATTAAAGGACTATTACTTTTAACTTTATTGTTATTACATTTTTAGAGAGATTTTTTTTTTTTTTTTTTTTTTTTTTTTTTTTTTTAGCTAGTCACAATTTAGTTCAATAAAAATTAAGGGAAAAAAAAACACTAACAATTCCATCAGCATAATTGAAGTTGAATAATATAATTATTTTTTATTATATATTTCTTTAATAAAATTCATTGTTAATTATACTATCAACACACTCAACATTTAAAAATACTAATTATTACCAAATAATAATTATTATTTTTATATCATATCAACGTTAACATAATATTTTTTTTTATATCTGTTCATAATTTCAAATCTATTTATTGTTTCTAAAATTACATCTTCTATTTTTCTAAATGAGATAAAATGTTTCCATCTAAATGAGATAAAATGTTTTCATCCATTCTCTTTTATATTGACATAAAAAAATACATGTTATTAATTATTATGCAAATGTTGATATAAAAATAAAAATAAAAAGAGAATGTATAAAATTATTTAACCAATATGTTATTTTTTTAAGTTGTGGAATTTATGGTTATGTTATACCCAACTTCTTATTTATTTCCTTTTTCATCCCAAAATACATAAAAAAAAAACAAATATTATACATAAATATATATACTATATAGGAGTTGAATCAAATCTTGAAATCAGAATATGAGACTCAACTCTAGTTATTAAATAAGAAAAAAGAATTTTGGTCAAGATTTAATTTTATTACTTTTTCTAAATAGTTAAATATTAATTTGACCGTTGTTTTGGCGTTGATCGTTGACCGTAGTTTGTGCCCCCGTTATTTTCAAAGTTTGCCATCCAATAACCATATATTCCTAATAATGCTTTATTATTATTATTATTATTATTATTATTATTATTATTATTATTATTATCTAAAAATAGTTGAAGCATCAATCAATCAATAATAATTAAAAGAAAATGATGGAATCAAAATTTCTATATGTGCAAGACAGCCATGACCAGACAATAATCCCATACACCGCGCCTCCAACCACAAATTATAGAGCCTCGGGTCATTATCCGACGTGGATATCTGTTTGACTCACGATGGACGGTCCTGATTCGTCCGCCCGAGCAATCTGCACCGCTGGATCATCAACGCCACCAACGCCATGTTCGGACAGCTCACGATCGACGGTTGGTGGTGAACAGAACAGGTCAGCTGCTGGACCAATCACGTTGCTCTATCGTGCCACGTCGGCCGAGCCCACGACAACACAAATAACCTCAATTTTGTAGCCCCCACGTTCTCCTACAGTACTCACCGTCACAACATTATGGCCACATTTTTACCATATTGCCCCTCCATCAGTGATACTGAAACTGATTTTAGTTGACTTTTTAATAGAGGTCATCTTGTGCTAATAGCATGGCCAAATAGAGTCATAATTTTTTTTTTTCATATATAGTATTATTTCAGGGAAATGCTATGGTCCAGTTACAGAACTATTCCGTCAGGTGGTTTAACCGTTGGATTATCTATCTTATCTAACTACATGTGAATCCAACGATTAAAACCCGACGAGATGGTACCGTAACGAGACGTAGCCGTAACTAATATCCACCGCACTAGGGCTGCAAACAAGCCGAGCCGAGTCGAGCATTGACCTTATCGATCAGGATTGAATTTTTTTTTTAGCTGCTCGAGCTCGACTCGAATTCAAAATGTTCGAGCTCGGCTCGAGTTCTGTTCAAAATTTTTCAAGCAATTTTGTGAAATAACCATTAAATACATATATATATATATACAATGGTATTTTAGTAATTTCATAGATCTCGAGCTCCTTGCGATCCGCTCGACAATGTAAAATATGAGCTCGATCTCGACTCAAGTTGCTCGAGCTCGACTCGAGTTCGATCAAACTCGAGCTCAAGCCAAGCTTTTACTCGAGCGCTCGTGAGCGGCTCGCGAGCTGCTCGACTCGTTTGCTGCCCTACACCGCACTTGTCTTTTTCCCCATTCCTATAGTAGCAATTTAGTCATTTCATGATTGACCATGCGGCCTATCAACCTATTTTCCATTTTTATTCATTTATGGTGATGATAAATTCTGCGAAGAAGAGAGAATATCCCACACCATAGTACTGTATTTCTCGAACCACCCACAGTCACAAGAACATTTCACCACCTTTTTTCAAGTCGAAATCGGCATTCAAAACCCACCTTCATCTTCATCGCCCCCACTCAATCCACAGCCCTAAATTCCCATACACAAAGGTAAAAAAGAAAAACCCACATACTTAATTACAGTGCCCTTCTTCTTTGATTTCTACTTTAATTTTGTTGCAGTTAATTTTTTTCACAGTTACGACCTCCGATCATCTCTGTTACTTCTTGAATTAGTTCTTGAATTGTGGGCTAGGCAGTTTTCAGGATCTTTAATTCTCACTGTATTTTTTTTTTCAATTTTACTGTTTTTTTTTCTAATCGATCCTTTTTTT